GTTCAACCTCTCCGGGCTGCTGGAGGCGGGGGAGAAGCCTCTCTTCGGCATCGGCATCGAGAACTTCATCACCTTGATCGTCTTCGGTTTGATCTTCACCCTGGGAGTGCTGGGCAACACCCTGGTGATCACGGTGCTGGCGAGGAGCAAGCCGGGCAAGCGCCGAAGCACCACCAACATCTTCATCCTCAACCTGAGCATCGCCGACCTGGCCTACCTGCTCTTCTGCATCCCCTTCCAGTCCACGGTCTATGTGCTCCCCACCTGGGTGCTGGGTGCTTTCATCTGCAAGTTCATCCACTACTTCTTCACCATCTCCATGCTGGTGAGCATCTTCACGCTCTCGGCCATGTCCGTGGACCGCTACGTGGCCATTGTGCACTCCCGACGCTCCTCGGCCTTGCGGGTTCCCCGCAACGCGCTCTTGGGTGTGGGGCTCATCTGGGCACTTTCCTTCGCCATGGCCTCGCCCGTGGCTCACCACCAGCGCATCTTCCACGGTGAGACCAGCAACGAGACCTTTTGCTGGGAGCAGTGGCCCAACCCACGCCACAAGAAGGTCTATGTGGTTTGCACATTCGTCTTCGGATATCTGCTCCCGCTGCTGCTCATCTCCTTCTGCTATGCCAAGGTGGGGCAAATGTAAAAGGAACGGGGGGATACAATGGTGGTAGGTGTCCAAGAGCTGTAGAGCCATCTCTGGGCACATGGAGGGACATGGCACTGTTGGGAGAAAAAGGAGCAGGTGTGAGTTTGTGACCAAAAGGAAAGGGAAGGTTTTATAGCTGAGGGATCACTGGGGGGGAATGACGTGTGCAGTGGCACGGACAGGTCAGGACAAGGATTGCATGGTGTGAGGAGTGTGTGTGGGGGGCTTGTTCTGACAATTACTGGGGTATCTCTGCCAGATTTCCTTGTTGCAGAGTGCTAAGAAGCCCCAGTGCTCTGCTGCTTTCTCTCACCACAACTCTCCTGTTTTCTTTCAGTGCTGTGTGAGGACTTTAACTCAAATAAAGTATAACAAAGCAACAAGTTGTTGAGGCTTCAAATGAAGCATTGTGGTTCTTTAAAATCTGTGCACTTAAAAATGATGCAAATAACCAGTTTGGTCTGATCCAGTTAACCTTTTAAGAGCAAAATGTGCATCACACTGCCTGGTCCTTATGTGCTCTGTCTTGCCCCAGTTGAAGTGGATGGGAGATTTACCTCTGACCTCAGCAAGGGCAAGTAGTACTAGGGAGCAGGGTGTGAGGACCCAGGCAGGGAATAACAATAAGTAAGGGTGCCTGAATACAGACATTTAAGGACTTAGGCAAACTGTCACTTTTTTTCTGTCAGTTATATTTGCAGCCTTCAGTGTAGTGTCCTTGCTGCTGGACAGATCTGAAGGACCAGCTCCTACCTGCTGAGTTAGGCAGAGATCCTCCCATTACTATGTCATCAGCCTTCAGTTGCAGGATTTCTCCTTGGACAGTAATTTACATTTGAGAGGATAGGGCTGCTCTTGCAAAATAGGACTGAAGTGTTGAGAAGCCAGTACTTTGTTTGTCAAGTTCAATACATGTAACTAAAGTATTGAATTTGAACAAAAAATGTTATGTTCTGTTCAGTTTTATATGTGTTACATCAGCTTAATTGTGATCTGCAAATTGAAGCTAGAATGACATCCAACTCTGCTAAATACAGGACATGCAGAACTCAAATGACAGTGTTTCTAAATTACTGTTTGTAGTGAAACTAGTCCAACCTGGCAAATGAAAAAGAAATACATGTTTTCATGCATAAACTGAATCCTGCTTTCCCTTGGTGAATACACTGGTATTTCATCTACAGTGGAGAATATGACTGAGCTGCAGCCATAGATTATCAGACTGAAGTAAATATTACATATTTCAGGGAGAATGTTACAGAATGTGTGCAGAGGGAGCTTTTCAGCTATTAATTATTTCATTTTTCAAAGCATCTTCAGCATAAAGTACCAGCTTTCTAGGTCTAATTATATGAGAGAAGATTGAAAACAAGTCTTTCTTCTAGGACAGTCCTAGGTAATATAGGGTGGAAAAAAATAAATATGCTTAATCAAAATATGCATGTAGTAAATACAACACACCATGTTGCTACAAAGCACCTCTACAGAATTAGATCTCTCAGTAGTAGTATGAATATGTAGGGTTTGTTTTTTTTAAAGAAAAAGCCCCAAAACAACAAGAAAAAGCAAACCCAAGCCAACAAATCAGCACTATCTGAAATGCATGCCCAGAACAAGTTCATAAAATCAAGAGCACTTGAAGTTGCAATAAAATCTTGTGCTTAAGTTCTTGTCAGAGTGCTTAAATTATTGCTTGCTGATGTGTTTTGAGCCTGCATGTATGATCCCTCTTGCCATGGTGTCAGACTGGAATATCTAGCCTGAAGGGATGAATTTTAGAAGATAGCTAGGAGACACCTGTTACTCCCGTCAGTGTCAATGAAGCTGAAAAATGCCATGACTTATACATGGCTACTGAAGGTATTTGTACCCTGCAGCTAAAGACTCTTTCCTGCCCTCATTAGGAGGCACTGGCAAATTTCCAGTGGCAGTATTTTGGCACATGTGGCAGGGTGAGGGTGGAATTAAGCATGATAATAGTTGAAAATCAGAGCTGAAGTTTTAGATTTCTCAAAGCAAATGTTACTCTGATGAATCTTGAGCAGTTGGTCACTCCAAGCTTTTATTGATGTCACTAAAGTATTACAAAGTACAGCAAGTGTTTTGACTTCTGAATGCATGCAGGACTAGAGGATTGCTGCTGTGTAATAGCCTCGGAAGTACTATAAAGATCATAGAATCATAGAATGGGTTGGGTTGGAAGGGACCTTAAAGATCATCTAGTTCCAGCCCACTGGCCATGAGCAGGGGCACCTTCTACTAGGCCAGGTTGCTCAGAGCCCCATCCAGCCTGGCCCTGAACACTTCCAGAGATGGGGCATCCACAGCTTCTCTGGGCAACCTGTTCCAGTGCCTCACCACCCTCATTGTAAAGAATTTGTTCATAATACCTAATCTAAACCAACCCTCCTTCAGCTTAAAGCCATGAGCCCATGTCCTACCACTACATGCCCTTGTAAAAAGGCCCTCTCCAGCTCTCTCATAAGCCCTCCTCAGGTACTGAAAGACTGGTCTAAAGCTCTCCCCGGAACCTTCTCTTCTCCGGTCTGAGCAACCCCAACTCTCTCTGCCTGTCGTCATAGGAGATTTTAGTCTGCATTAGTTTCTTATAGACTCCACTGATTTTTATGAACTGTGGATCAGCTAAATGACATAATCTTCTGATACAGTAGATTAAGACAAAGAAGGCTCATTTCTCTATTTGAATATATTGCCTTTTCCAGACTCCTTTAAGGCAGTTCTGTTTCTTTCATAAACAAATTGCAATTGAACTTTCTGTCTTTAAAGTCATTTTTTTAGGTACACTAATAGGCAGCCAAGTCCTTTATTTTTCTCACTCTCTCTTAAATTGTATTAGGAGAGATTTGTGTTTTCCACGGTGGATAGAAATACTGTTACAACCTACAGGAGTGCTGAAGTAGTGCCAGGTATTTGGAAACAATGTCCTTCCACATTATCTCACGTAATGTGCTCTTCAGACAGAAATTTACAAGATCATGCTCTGTGTCTTGTGTGCACAGCTACCCCTTTTCTCTCTTTCACAAATAACTTTGGTTCAGATTTCTGATAGAGAAGTGAAAATATCAGAAGAAATGATATTTCTCCAGTTTTGTGAAAACAGCCAACAATGAAGATGCAGAGTCTCCATCATCCTCTCTTTTTTAAGGAGAGTCAGTTTACACTCAACTGTTAAACATCAGATAAGCCATAGGGGAGGAGGTCTTGGGTAGCATCAACTTATCAAGAAGACATATTTTTTTGGGAACACAGTCAAGAATTAACAAATCCAGCTTTTCTTGCCTCACCAAACTAATCTTGAAAGACATTTACAATTCCAGAGAGAGGAGCAGTGATTATGTAGTTATCAGTTGAGTCACAGCACTATATACTTGTAGACAGCCTGTATTCTGACTTTTTTATTGCTTATCATACTACTTGACATATTTTTTTAATACTGACTTTTTTAATGTGTTTTGTAAGGCAGCTATGACATTTGCTCATTAATGTGTTCTTAAACGGCAAAGTGATAAATGTTTCCCAGTCAGCTTCTAACAATTGACATCTGTCAGGGTCGTGCGATGTGACAACTAATTTTGTGTACCTCAACTTTTCAAGGATTCAGTTCTTGAAAGTCAGGCCTTCTTCAATCAAACCTTTAGGCTGGAGTCCTTTAATTACTAGCAGACTTTTCCTTTTATAGATGTATAATGTTAAAAGCTGTTTTAAAAACAAGTATTTCTTGCCTTAAGAGTGTTTCCATTATTATCTATTATTTTGGACATTCTGAATTCATGAAAGTCATGTATGATTTATGGACTTGGTTAAAACTAAGCCATAAAAAGTAAGACATAAAATCCAAGCTCATATGGTTCTTGGCTTCAGAAATTATATCTTAAATGTTGCAGAGCAGCAAGGGGAAAACTTTATTAAAGTTCACTGAAAATAAAAAAAAATAAAATGTATGACACGTTAGTGACAGGCACTTAATTGAAAGAGGGTGAAGGATCTGTTGTGACAATAGAAGTAGCAGCGTTACTTTAAAACATGGATTGCAGGCAATGGCACTCAAATTTAAATCAGGTTCGTACTACAAAGATGGTTCAGAATGCAATGCTTACATTATGGCTCTGTTAAACAATTCATTCTTATTTGATAATGACCTTGGGCAGACTTTACTTCTGCATTATTTTCAATGGCTGATGATGAAAGTGTAGTCAGTGGAATGACTGTATACAGCCAGATGAGAAACATGGTTTGTAACAGTGTAGACTTCAAGCTTCACCATGTTTGGTAGACTTACATGAATAGGCACAGATAGTTTGAGCTATTTTCGTCTCTCTCCCTGATTGGAAGAATCCCTTTCTCAACTTGATTTGGTCACAGACCTTAGTTTGAGCTCTCAAACCATCCTGAATGTAGTTGCTGAAACAACTGGAGGGGGGAGGGGGATAAAAAAAAAGAAAGGAAAAAAAGAAAATAAATGAGTAGTCTGCAGGCAAAATGCAGGTCCCCCCAAATGCCATCAGTGTTAGTTGTGGTTGTACAGTCTGGACCAGACTATAACTTCTTATACTTCCATGATCCTCCAAGTCTTCTTACATCCTCTTTCAACACAGCATAATTTTCTTCCCACAGCACCCCACCCTCATCTCCAGAAAACAGGAAAGCTGTTCCTTCCCTAAGAGCCAAATAAGATCTCTGAACAACAGGTACCTGAAAGTTGGAGTTAGAAAAGTTTTATGTTTCTTTTCCACAGAGCTAATTATTTTTAAAAGAATATTACAGCTTATGAGACCAGGTTGGGACCTATGTTTTAGTAAGCTGCGTATTTTATTCCATGGGTTAAAAATGCACATGCAAATGTATTAGTGTATATTTTGTAAGACTATCTTAAGAGAAATAGCCTGAGACAGATTAAGAGGCACATGTAGAATTATAGTTCATGTTCATGAAGTGACAATGGCTGTTTGAGGAACTATTATTGAATCATTGGCCCGGAGAAGAGATAATTTGAACAGGGCAGTGAGGAGAGTGTCTTTGATTTTCTTTGTAATGTTTGTGCATCAACATGTGCTGCTCCACTGCTGTTGATAGGTAATTACATTTTGCCTATTTCTCTTGTTGCTAGTTTGCATACCATCCGGTACACTACTATGTAGAGCCAGCATGTTTTCACTGTAGATACTTATTTTATGAAATATGTATATGATCTGAAGGAGGGGAAGTTGAGAAGGATTCATTCAAACGTTATTTTGTAAACTGGCAACAAAACCCTCCACCACAACCCCCTATCTGCCCCAAACATCCAATTTAACAATTTTGTCTGCTGCATCTTTCTTTAGGCTGGAGAGAGATGCGATACAAAAATTTGTGCTAAAAGTCTCAGAACAGAAGAAAAAATACTTGTAACTTTATAAAAAGATTTTGCAGTTCTGATTTCTGGGAAGAGCATATATGACTTTAGTTTTGGGTGGCGAGGGAAAATCACAGAACAGTACAGTCACTGGGTGGCAGGTGATGGGATTTGCAATGGTCCAGTGGAAACAGCCCATCACTGTAAGTTATGTGAAGGGGGAATGATAGATGAAGCAGCAGCGATGGGAAGTGAGCTTAATTGCATTCCTTCTATGCCCTTTTTGGTTTTTCATTTTTCACCCACGGACTAAGCAATGCAGCTGGTTTGTACAGGGTGATGGCAGGTGAATAAAAGGTGTGTGAGCCAGATGAATGTCTCCTTGGTCTTCTGCTGGACCTCAGAGGTTCTTCTGTCCTTTCTTTCTGCTCTGCTTCATCCTGAAGAAGAGAGAAAGAATGAAGCCAAAATGGGACCTTCTCAAAGAAAACCCATTTATATTTCTCCTGCTTTTCTTGAGCTCAGGTTAGCCTTGGTAGCAGCATGGACAGCGTTTCAGAATACAAAGTGCATACAGGGCAAATCTTTCACACATGAGAATGTTACTGCACAGATAAGCATAATTGAACCACACTTACAATATTAAGTGGTTACAAGTAATTTTAATTTTTATTGTTGTTTATGGTTCACTGGTAGCTAAGGGTAGATACTTAAAAAATGGAATCTGCTGATGAGCTATGGTTATTCACAAATGCCATTTTATTTCTTTTAGTTTAGCATGTATGTCTCCAAGACTTAAATGCCAGAGTGGGATCAAGTTTCTAGGTCATCTTGACTGATGTCTGTCCTGGTAATGGTTATTTGTGCATCCCAAAGAAAACAGAGAAAATGTCCACAGATGATATAAAAGAATTTGACTTTGTATGCTTTCCCACACCTCAAGAAGTCTCCTTATAGGCCCTAAAATTTAGTATTATGGTCCTGTAAAAGAATTATTTTAATGCTGGATTATTTTACCTATTAAATCTGGATAATTTTACCTATTCCTTTGTTCTTATTTCATCTTAAAAGTTACGTAAAGTACAACCTAACAGCGTCATATAACTGAGCTCTACATTCTGACACTCAAAAAGATCCTTCTTACCGTATTTTAATTAAACACTCAAGTTTAATTCGGAATCCCTCTTTTTTTTTATTCTGTATGGTTTGCAATATGTTAAACACATTCAGCTGAAGATCATGTTCCCTGCCCCCACCTCCATGCCTACAAATCATGCCATAAGAATATATTAGATTCAGTTAATAATGACTGCAGATGAAGTAGGGCATGCATCTCTATGCATCATTCACTATCAAAAATCTTATATGTAAATCATACATGGACCCTGCTTTTGGATGGTAAGCCATTTTCTGACATATTTTAAAAATTACTTGTGAAAGATGCAAGATACGTATCATCAAACTGTTGATAAAGGTCATGCCTTATGTGTCGTGCCTCATTTTACTATAAATTATTATTGAAAGCCTCAGCTTCTTTCGAAGGTCAAATAGTACCAGCATCCTGATTATATTAATCAAACAGCCATCTGAAGAAAGCAGATAATGCAGGTGACTCAGAAAAACTCTGACTCAAAACATACACTTTTTTTATGTTACATGCAGTAAAGGTCATCCTAAATTAACATGCATTGACTTTTTACGAAGACAAGTGATTGCTAATTCAAGGTGCATGATAGTTTTCCATCTGTTGCCTTGTTCATTTGTAATGTGTATTCTTTATGTAATACATTTGAATTTTTATATAAGAATTCAATTGTGGTCTGTTTCATATTTGCCAGTTCACACAGATGCAGATATGTAATTCCTTTGGTTGTCATTCTGTGCACTTTTAAAATGTGTAGATTGGATCAGCCTTGTTTCTGCATGACTTGTGCAGTACTGGAGAACAGTACTAAGATCTATGGGTTTGAATTTTAGAAAATGGTGAAATACAAGGTGCAAATTAATCTTTTCAGGTTCTTAATCATCTGCATAAGAAGTTGAGAAACATGTCAAAGAAGTCAGAAGCATCCAAGAAAAAGGTATATTGGATTCAATACCAATATTTCTTTGTTTTTATTTTAGTTTTATGTCTAAGCTAATTTGGTATTATATTGCTTGTTGCTAAAGGTGTAACAGAGAGAAGAAATTGTAATTAAGTATTTAACGAAGCATTCAGTGTCCCTCTGAACTTCATAGGATTGGAATCTTTCCTGATTCAAGTTTTCCATTACATTGCATCAAGCCATTACTTGAGATGCTCATTATTTTGAACTTCAGAGCATCTGAAATTTAGACATGAAGAGATAACCTGTCCGTAGCATTAAATGTGGGGCTGTTTTGCTCATAGGCATTTTCCCCTGACTTGTAAGTCATGGGATTTAAAAATTATTTTTTAAACTAGCTGATTTTTTAATGTTTTGTGGAAGACTTCCTAGGTTATATGTTGAGGATTTAAAATGAGGTTTGCTGTGTTTCCTGATAGGAGTCTATAAGGAGGCTTTTAATGATTCTCCAATTCTTCTATTGATTTTTACCCAGTGTTTTCTTCTCTTATGTTCAAGACATGAGTGTTACAAGTAGAATCACAAAAGGTCTTTGAAGCAGAATATAAGCTTTGTGATTTAGAACAATGTTTGAAAGATGTGTTTATACAGAGAATTTGTCAGTTAATATAATACCATTCTGATTTTTGAGCAGATTTGTCCACAATAATCATTTGACTAACTTCTCAGTCATAAAAATCCCTTAGGCTATAGCTCTTCATTTGATCTGATCACTATTTCCATATGGGCATGCAGACTATCTGCAGTGTAAATGAGATATACATGGGCTCAACAGGGAATAAGTTATCTATTATTTATACTTTCTCTATTTTTTTGAAAAATGTACTAGTCAATAGATTTTGATTCCTAGAATTAAGAGCATTATGGCCCCAATTCTGTAAAATACTTAACAGATATACTTTTTTTACTTAATGGGTTCAAGACCAAAGGCGTAGTTCTCAGACACATTCTGTGCATTGCCATCTCTCACTTAAATTATTTTCAAACAGGAAATATCTGTGCATTTCTTTTAAGCACTAACTCTTGAAAACTGCAGACCTGGCTAAGAACCAGCTTTCAGAGCTTCAGGGTAAAGCCTTGTAGACATGTTCAAGACTGCTTGGACATATCAGGGTTCAGTAACCAAGGGAAAAAAAAGAACAAACAGCATCCCAAAACTTTTTTTTGCCTTAGAAAATAAGTTTCTGAACTTCAGGCCTAACTCATGTTTTTCATAGAGACTCTGTTTTGACTAGTGTGCTAGTGCTCTCTCTGGTTGCCATTATCTTCTTTTCCTTCTGCTGTCTTGTTAAGAATGCATTTCAGGTATAGTTATACATTTCTAGCTTTATTCAAACCTTTATGAACATTTTGGTAGTAGAATCTTAAAATAAATTTGCTATATGTGTAAAGCAAAAAGAAAAATATGTTATTTGTCTAAATACTGTTTTTCACGCTTTTTGGTTACAAAGCATCAATATTAACATCATGTATTTCAGGTGTGTTTTATTTGCTAATGAGAAATCCTAGGCAAGCTCCCATTAGGTAAACAAGAGCTGTTCTTTAGTGATACCTTGTTTGCAAGACATAGTGATGATTTTTGAAAGGTAAGCTCTGAAGTTAGGCTTGGGAGGAACAATGGGATAAAACAGATGTTGTGAGACTTCCTAATGCAAAATTGCTTATTCTGCAGATATGAAATACCTTAAATTGCAAGAGACACATGGTCAGCCTCTGCTTTCAGGTGCATCTATACAGTCCATTAAAAGTCAATGATTTTCCTGGTGAAATTTTTCTCTTAGATTTTTTAACCAACTGAAGTAATATGCCTCTTGTAAATGTGCATGTGGTATCCTGACAATCTGTTTTCAGTTGGAATATTAACACATCGAAGGGATTAGACGATAAACTGCTCTTAATTTATACACCCTTGTTGGCACACATTCTCCCGATGAGACCTAAAAAAGAAAATATTTCTGTGGCTATTTTAGTGGCAACTGACTTAAACTCCATGGGGCTAAGCAGATGAACAGCTTGTGAACAGATGATAGCTTGAGACTCAACAAATTACATTAACTACAGATATAATGTACTTTGGTTTCTCCTGTGAGAGTATACTGACCAACAACAGTATCTGTCAAGTTATTTTGGCCTGTTGCCACAGAAATCAAAACTTTTTTCTCTAAGTTTCTCTAAGTCAACTCATGTTCTGTGAATATTATTCAGTTCAAGAAGTATATATCAAGTTCAGTAAACTAGCAAGAAGTTTACATACTCTCTGTGAAGCAATATTTATCACTGTGTGGCCACTGGGTTAGTTTTGGCTGTGGAGAAAAGCCTAAGTTATCTGAAAAATTGTGTTATAAAGCATTAATATGGAAATTACAATGGCCCATAATGTAATCTGCTTTGAAATTATTGTTAGGCTTTTATTGGGAGACTGATTTAGTTGAAAGAGGTACTTGTTAGAGGAGTAGATATTAATTACTTAGGCAACTGCAAGGCCCTGACTTCTGTTTCTGAAGTAAGTGGAAGCTAAATTAAACATTGACAGTCAAATTCCACTGTGCCCTGGCAGAATTCCTTCAGCACCTGAAGGGTCTGTACTGACTGATACTGTAGCTGTCGGAATGGATCTAATGGCTTTGGTGGTCCTTCCTCTCATAAACAGTGGCAGTGGAGTGTGGAGGTGTCACTGAGGATGTTTTGTATTCCATTTTTTTGAATTCAGTGTGTTTTGACAATGTGCAATCACCAGAAATTTCACGCTCCGTACTTTTCCACTTACTTTTTCCCTAGTTGTATCCCAGGATGTTGTATGAATCTCCCTGTGGAAATTCTATGTTTAAAGGAGAGATTTAATAAAAAGGCCCTACTCCTTTAGTAGGCACTTGAGCAGTATTTGTCCAACTGCTCTAAGCTATTCCACTAGCTACCTTCATGTATGATAGATCTCTTTTGAAATTTTCAGCAGAAATCCTTGTGCATTGTACTGAAATATAATCATTAGATCTGAACGAGATTTCCCAAAGACCCCTGTTTTCGTTATTTTACATCAGGCTTATGTCCACCTCAGAAAAGACTAGGCTTTTGTGTAAGGAGTTAGAACCATTCTTTACCTTAGAGGAAAGTTATATGTCTGCCTTTTACTATGGCATTTTCAAGGCTAAGGTTCTTCTTTGCAGTAGTTCACTATGCAAAATAAAGCCCATATTGGTAATGGAGTAAAATCAGTAATAAATATTCCAAAGCATGTTCCCTCTCAGTATATTCCTCCCCTTCCAAATAATGATTTTGAAGCAGATTTAAAGCTGATTCTTCAAGTACTCATCGGACATCTGTGTTTTCCTTTCCCTGTCTCAGACAGCACAGACTGTGTTGGTGGTGGTAGTGGTTTTTGGCATCTCCTGGCTGCCACATCATGTGATCCATCTCTGGGCCGAATTTGGAGTTTTCCCACTGACTCAAGCCTCCTTTCTCTTCAGAATAACTGCACACTGCCTGGCGTATAGCAATTCTTCCGTGAACCCGATTATATATGCATTTCTCTCTGAAAATTTTAGGAAGGCCTACAAACAAGTCTTCAAATGCCAGATAGGTAAGGAGTCATCACTGAACGATGCTAAGGAAAATAAAAGTCGGATAGATACACCACCCTCTACCAATTGTACCCATGTGTGAACATTGAGAAGCCCTGTATGTCAGCTCTTCATTTGTGTGAACTAAACATCAAGAAAACAAAGCACAATGAGATTTATCCTGGGTTTATCTTGATAAAGGTAATTGGTATTTAATGTACTGAAGTTGCAATTGTAGCAAAAGTTTGTGAAACTGGTATGAAAGAAATCTGGGCTGATCCTTTGCATCTTAGATAGCATTGTCAATTGAAGCTCTTGGACTTGTAAAAGATATTTGAGAAAAAAATGTTGAGATTATATGTCTGTATTCATACTAAGTGTACAAATATACAAGAAGATGTTGATATGGACAGGTAACTTTCTGACATCTTGCTCCATTGAAGTGGAAAGATGGATAAAATTTCTCTCTTACAGATAATAAATACCAGAGCACTATGATTTCAGAGAGGAAAAGTTCTGTTCTCTCTTCAGATTGTTTTGACAATGCCTATTCTCTTTCCAAAGTAGAGATGGACTCTGATATGGAGTTGAAATAACCTGTGTACAATTTGATGCAATAGCTTTAGAGAGGAAATGCTAATTTTATCTGTTTAGCTGGTTTTAATATGTCATACTGAGGAAGGATGGACTGGTTTTCCACTTCATATGGCTGCCTTACTGTACACACAGGACTTTTGTGTACGCTATATAAGGTTTGTTTATGATTTGGATGTAATTGTACCAAAATGAGGATTTGTGTCTAGCTGAGGGAAGCTTTTCTTCATGTGTTGCATGTGCATGTGTATGTACATTTTAACTTCATAGATTTTAAGATGGAGATACAGTTTTAAATGTGCAATATATACAAATGTTTTAAAATACTATGTTCCATAAAACAACTTTACACAATGCTTAAGTATTTTTAAATAATATTCCCTTAAAAGTTGTAGGAGGGACTTGATATCATGTAGTTTTTAATTGGAAATATACAGAAGGTTGCTTTTAAGGTAAATGATACAATTCTGCAAATTCTCAAACAAGATGAGTAGTTTCAGCAATTTTATAAATGCACTTAATATGTCTTTAAGTGATAAACCACTAAAGAAATACTGGAAGGGCTCTTACTCCTTTGAGAGCATTCTTTTAGCTGGAGTAGATATGATTTTACCTTATTTATTAATGACCCATAGACTCATAGAGTAAATCAAATTAAAGGAACCTCCGGACATCCTCTCAAGGCAGGGATACCCTCAGAGTTGTATCACTTCTTGTCTAGGCAAGTTCTGAAAATTTCTAAGAATGGTGAATCAACAATATTTTGGGGGAACCTGGACCAGTGCCTAATCACCCGCACCAAGATATTTTTTCTTATCCACAGTTGGGATTTCCCTTGATATATCTTGTGACCATTGCTTTCTGTCCTTTCACTGTGTACTTGTCTTCTCTCTAACTGACTAATATGTAATTTAAGATGGTGATTAAATTTCCCCTTAAACTTCTCTTCTGAAACAATGTGTTGCTCTCAGTCTCTCCTCATCTATTGTGCCCCAGCTCCCTGGCCGGATTAGTGGCCTTCTTGCAGCGTATCCATCCCTCTTATGAACTGGGATGTTCGAAACTGGAGTGTGTTCCAGATGTGGCCTCATGAGCACTGAGCAGACCAATTGCTTCCCTTAACCTGTTGGCTGATTCTTGCGGATACAGCCTAGTATTATCATAACTTATTGCTACAAGGCTAGACTGCTGACTTATATTTATTTTCTGCTTTACAAGCAGTCAGGTCCTATTCTGAGGAGCTGCAGAGTCCCAGTCCAAATTTCAGGACTTTGGTTTTGGCTTTGTTGAACTTCATGCATTTGATAGCTGTTACTTCCATTCTTCCAGCTTATCAAAGGCCCTTTGAAAGCTTGCTCTGCTCTCTAGCATATCCACCATTCCCCTAGGTTTGCTATCATGTCTAAAATTGCTGAGAGAGTCCTGCACTCTTGTCCTTGTCTTTGAAGATGCTAAGCAGTGTTGGCCAAATGCTCTTTCAGATTATTTTTACTCCACAAACAAACAAACAGAAAAAAAAGTAAAATTCAGATGAACCATGAAGTATGGAGAGTTAGCTCACATAAAAAATAAGTACTTATATGTGTCAGTATTGTCTGCTTGGAATCAGTAAAATAACATCAAAAACATGCTATTGCATGCATGGTATTTGTGTCCATTCTTTCATATGAAGAGTCCCTTCGAAGATATTGCTAGGAACACAAAATATATGAAAAAAATTTGGAAAAGAAGGGCTTATTTATGCAGGAAATCATTTCCTTTGTTAGGACTGAGATTCAGAAACAACCTGGAAATATCCTGAATTTCCTTCGAGTTTTCAGATCCTCATTACCTTAATCACCCAAATTATTAAAGTACTGTCCAACTTCAGCTGAATTTATAACATATTGGGAAATTCTACAGATTTGAATTTTTTCTTTTTAAAAATTCAAATTTTATTACTTTGAAAAAAAGTTACAATGCAAATGTATAATTGTATAAAGTTAACAAGCTAAGTTTGTTGTTTCATCTGGAGAGAGTTTTTGTTTTTCTTGATTATACATAATTTTAATCCTAGGCGCTTGATAGTGATGGAAGTGCATCTGTTTGAAATTTTAAGGACAGGGGTTAGGGGGTGGGAGCTGCAGTAAAAACTGGTTAGAAAGGTCCCACCTGGTTCTTGGTATCAGTAAATTTTTCACCTCAATTTTCAGAGAAACCTGAAGAAGCAGCTGACACGCCAAGGCTCAGTTTACGGCTTAAAACATGCCTTTGTTGGGCCATGTCTCGAGTGTGACTTTGTCGTAGCCAGCTGTTGTGAATGTAAAAGCAGTGATAATGTGTGCTGTGAACTGTGTCCAACCCTTGAGCATCTGGACAGTTGGTCAGCAAAGTGTTGTGCCAAAAAATTACTGATTTGGGTAGATAATCAGGCAATGGGTCCTAAGATCCCTTACAACTGAGTATCTGCTTCCAAGTTCTGAGCTTGTTGTCAGGGATTGTTGTTTTTGGTTGAAGGCAAAGTAAAATTTTCACTTAATTCACTTGCCTGAAATGCTTTTTTGCATATTTTTTTATTTAACCAGAAAGGCTAATTTCAGTGTACATGAAGTCAAGGAGAAAGAGAAAAAAAATTCTCTGGCTAGGGCTGAATTTTCCACTCATAGAAATAATCCCACAGTATTGTGTGAATTAAAAAATAACATGCTGCACAAAACAAAATAGGCAACAGGAATGATTACTCAAATTCCTCTCAAAGTAAAGCAGGATATGTATGTGTAATTAATTAAATACTTGTATTTCCCTTAAAATTCCTTAAAATGATATTTCTCATAAATTGCAAGAATTGGAGAACTTCAACAGAAACTGCTACTCACTTTCTTTTAATAAACTCCCTGAAATTTTGTTGTATGTATACTGCCAAAATGCTACCTCACTGTGCTGCTTCACAAGCATCTCCAGAAGTTTAATGTACACAGTGTGCTTTCAACATTGGGATGTATCCCATCGGATCAAGTCCATCTTAACCATCCATGGTTGTTCAGTCCAGCTTAAAACTCTGTCTTAGTGGAGAAATATAGAAGTCTCCTATTCATAGTTTACTTTGCAGAGTGGATGAAAGACCTCTGGAGGGGCAGCATCTCTGTAGCACTTCATGCTAGCATGATAGAGTCTCCTTTCTTGCAGGCTCTGGAGAGGAGCTCCGTTCTGTCCACTTTCTGAGGTTGTACTAAGACATTGCAGCAGGTTTCTAGCCAAGTTTACATTTTATACATTAGATATTCTAGTTTGAATCAGTTTTGTCTTAAAAAGATGCAGAAGTCTCATTGAAAGAAGTAAAGAAATTATTCCATCAGGGTTCTTAGTGCAACATTTGCCCTGCCTGCTTGTGGGTAGGTGTTCGAGGCATGATACAAAAAGATTGCAGCAGTGCTCTTATTCAGCTAATAAAGCCTAAAATACATTTCCACAATACATGTGGACCCAGAAGCACACTGTGCACTGCTTCACATAAATCAGGATCCATACCTAAAATAAACAATTAAATGGCATTTAGCCAACATACTGTTCATCATATGCAAAGACAATGAAATGAAGGAACTTGCTTGCCTGTGTGTTCAGCTATGCTACCTCCACAGGTAATTGTATCACCCACTTAACCAATTTTGAAGAAGGGAATCATTTCAGTTGCAAGTGAAGCTGACACTTAATTGCTGCTTCTAAGTGAGTCATTAAACTACATCAGTTTCAGACAGAAGTATGTACTAAATATTTATGATATGTAATAATGTAAACATTCCTAATTGTCTAAAATGTATATCTTGCATCAAATAATGTAGACTTTCTTAATAATTTTAATATATCTAAAGTAGGTAAAAAAAGTCATATGCTGTAATATTTTACAAGGATATGCCCAAACTGGCTGAAATTTTATGTAGAAATTGATTATGACCGTATAAGGAGCAAACTTTAATTTTCTCGTTTAGTGTTTCCATCTCCAATCTTAATATTCTTTCAATATTATGTATGATGAAATTAATTGGAACTGTGATTATTTACAATTTCTTCAGGAGTCTTTTTCTAAATTCAAACATTGAAAAAAGCATATTTTTAAAACCATTTAATTTTTGGCAAGACAGGGAATTCTAATGACATGTTTTAAGTTAGAGTATTTTGAGCTTTGTATTTGTCTTTAGTTTGTATGCATGCGTCTCTTTCTTCAAACCTTAACTTTATTGTTTTCATAATCTATTCTATCTTCATTTTTAAAAAATAGCATCGCTATCTCCAAGAGATAAACATTAAGTTTTATATATTTAATGTTGCAGTGAAATGAATTTTTATTTAAATCCCACATTGTGGGGAAAGAGAGGGATCTCTTTATAAAATAGTGTTGTGAATGCATTATTATAGAGATTGCTGTCTTCATGGTTGCTTCACAGTACTCTGTGTCACATTGAACCTAATGATACCTGTGGTATTTTGAGAAAGGATAAAAGCAGAGAGAAGAACAGCTTCTAGCTTACAGAGCTTGTGTTAGTGTTCCGTAT